CAACGGGTCAACAACCAACTCGCACCGTGCAGGCAGGACAGAGACACTGCTGTATTTTTGATCCCACAACAACTTCCCCTCAGTGCGAACATGGCTGACAGCATGAGTCGTATGTTTCTCTGGTGCGTGCCCCGCACCTGCTCCACCGTTCTCCTGAAGTGTCTCAGTTTTGTTCAGGGTCTCCAAGTCGTGAACCAACCGTACTACTGCGCGTACTTTATCGGACCGGAGGGGAAAAAGTCGGACTGGCCCGATATGAACGACCCCGTGGACAAGCGTCTGTTTGAGACATACTACCACGCAAGCAGCAACGACGACCGAGGTTTTGATGAGAAAAACTGCACGTACGGCTGGATCCGAGACCAGATACTCGAGGCGTCTTACAGAGACAAGACCATCCTGCTGTGTAAAGACATGGCTCACTATCTGAACTCAAGGTATAATGAACTCCCCGGGGACTTCAAATACAGCTTCCTAATTCGCCATCCAGTAAAAGTACACCTATCATGGAAAAAGTATCTGGAGAAGTTACTTCCAAGTCTCACAAATGACATACAGAGCTTACCGGAATATATCTTTCCTGCAGGCCGTGGATTCAAGGAGCTTTACGAGTTGGTGATGTACGTTGAGAAGCATCTTGGGCAAGACCCAGTTATCATAGACTCAGATGATCTTCTGGCTGACCCCGAAGGCATCCTGTCGGCCTATTGTCGGGAGATGGGCATTCCCTACAGCCGAGAACTTCTGTCCTGGGATTCAAGCGACTCAGTCACCAAAACATGGATCACCCCAAAGATATTGATGAATGCCAATAAGGTTGCTGGGTTTTTCGACAAGGCGTTCTAGAGCTCCAGATTCGAGCAGGCCAGCTATGCTGGACCGAGCCTTCCCGACGATGTCCACCAATGTGTAGAGGCCTCCATGAGTTACTACGAGAGACTGCGTGAGAAACAAATCAAAGTCTGTAAGCCTACTGTTGGCCACTAATGTTGATGCATGTTATACCAGTTTCAAGAGAGAGTTACATCACATAAAACATCACTGATGACCCATGGATGACAATAGGGCTGTTCAGATCTATCAGACTGAAACGAACGTGACATATACAATACTGATCCTACAGAAACAAGCATAAATATGTAACCCTGTTTCAGAAAGGCGCTCCAGAGTTGCGCCAAACTAAATTAAAAAGCAAATTTTGATTTACGTACGGCAAAAGTTCGACGTCTGAACATCAGGAGCGACTAGGCGTGATTGCAGGCGAAAGATCGACACTTGAAGGTGCTCAGACCAACACCAGAGCGACTTGGTTTCAGACGTCGCATTTTTCATGGGCTAACCCAATGCAAATTTATGTATTAAGTTCGTCTGTCTGAAACCAAAACTGAACTGGGTCGACCCAAGTCGCTGTTACTTCTAATAGGTTCGGCGCGACCCTAGAACGCCTATCTAAAACGGATGTAAGATAAGAAATAATAATCAACTTACTAACGTCATTAAAGTTGCAAAGAAAAATTATTAGGCCTATGAGCCTCGAGCTGGACCAATAGAGGGCGCAATGTTCCTAGCAACGGAGGCTCCTTTGGTCGGAACTGCACCTCGCTGAACAATAGTGGTTCACGAACGATTATGAAACGCACTCGCAGTGGATCATCGCACTCACACGCACCTTCTTCAGCTTCGAGCACGTCGCGTGCAATCTGGCAAATCACGATACCCTATACAAGCGATTCACAATAGTGCGCCACCAAGTGTTTACAACGAATTGGCCAATCAGAACGCGCAAAATTTGTCGACCCCTTCCAAACACGCAATGGGTCGACAAATTCCCCGCATTGTGATTGGCCAACGCGTTGCAAACCCTGAAGTATGCCAGGGATTGTACAATAGGAGGAGGTGCATGGTATTTTAGTAGTGTATAAAAAGGAACAATGTCGACAACAGGTACTAACTTTGAAGAAAGGAACTTTTATTCTAAACTATTTTACAGCTTGTACAAGAGAGAGTTGGAGTACTGCGCATAGACATGTTGCTTGGAGAGTGGTTGTGATGAGACTGACTAAAAGTGACCCAAATGGTGAAAATAGGGTTGGGAACACAGGCCGGAAGAACAAGGGTAAATCTAACTAAAATCTAATTATAAGTAATAAATCCTAGACCAGAAGTCTGCCAGAGGAATGTGGTAAGAAGGCCAAAGCAATAAAAGTTGGTCCTTGTGTAGGAGTGCTCTTAAATCAATTAGGAGGCTTGACATTACAGGGTCAAAAGTTAAAGGCTCCTAATCTACTGCTGGGAAAAATGTACATGGGATCTACTGTAGATGCAAGTGTTCTTATTTTTACAAGGGGGAAAAAACACTACAGTATCATTTATCTTGACAAATTCTTGTCGATAATACATAGATATAGCTCCTAAACTACTCCAAGGCAATTTCCCTGATGTCATACTGATGTAATTTAAAAAGAAGTGTCATGGTTCACGGTGTCAAAGGCCTTGGGGAGGTCTAAAAACATTATTTGTGATCTTGTCTAATAACTTAATTATGGCATGTGAAGTTGAATGATTTTCTCGAAATCCGAATTGATTAGTTGAAATTGTGTTATTTTTATCTAAACAAAATCCACAAAATCACACGTTCCAGGACTTTTGAAAATGACGGAAGGATAGCAATTGGTCTACAGTTAATAACAAAAAGAGGGTTACCATATCTGAAGACTGGGGTAACCCTCGCTTACTTCATATATTCAGGCACTGCACCAGTGGAGATAGATAAATTGATAACAAATGGTAATGGGTGAGAGACAGCGTGGATCACAGCCTTAACAGTGTACAGTCAATTTGATCAACTCCTGCACTTTTTATTAACTATATCAATGATCTCCCCTTCTTTAGCTGGTGAAAAAAAGCTCTGTTTTGGTAGGGATTGGTTAGATATAATCAGAAAAATTATAGTTATTGGGAGGAATTTGATCGCAAAGACTTTTACTAACAGTAAAAAAGTAGTTATTAGTGACTTAGTATACGTTCTTGATTATTAACAGACTTTCCTCATGTTGATGTAACTGTGGGGTGCTGGCTGGTTTTAAATAAGTTATTATTACGGATAATTTTCCTAATTTTTAAATCATTATTACCCTTTGGTTTATTAAATGAGTTAACGTAGTAATTTTGTTCGGCATTACGAAGTGCCATATAGTCAAAATGTTTTTCTAACGTACAAATTTAGAGTGGTTTAAGGCAGTGTGGTTAGAGGTTTACGTGGTAATGGATTGACATATGTTGACGGTTACCCAGGGTACTTTAGTTATTTTTGCGAGAGATGGATTGACATATGTTGATGGTTACCCAGGGTATTTTAGTTATTTTTGTGAGAGATGGATTGACATATTTTGACGGTTGCCCGGGGTATTTTAGGAGTAAGTTTGTTTTGATATACCTTTTTTTCTTGGAATATATTTGTTAAGATTAGCATTAAAAGTATCCATGAAGTTAATGAAAGCAATGGGCATTATTTACTTATTACATTATAGTATTGTTACTAAATAGTAATCATTATTTATTTAGTGAGAAACATGTACATGTAGACGTAGATCAATCAATTCTCAGTCGAAACAGACATTTTTGGGCCCTTTTCGGAGGCATCCCTGAGCAAGAACTAGCCAGATAGCTGCATATATGGATGTTTCTTGGCAAGCTAGGTGGATGGTGTATATATTTGTGAAGATTTAAGGTGATTTTTGTTTGGTGTAAAAGAGATTCGAGGTGGAGCAAAATTACGCTCCTTGTCACTCCATCAAGGGCGCCCTCAATCTATGTGTGGAAGAAAACACTGTGGCTCAAAAGGCACATTATACATGGAGCTCGCTGTCGGTTCTGACCATTTGGCCCTGGTCAACCTGACTTCCGATGTCCAAATTCGTCTAAATTTCGCTCCGGCTGGAAGGTTTATGCCGGCTTGCACAGTGATCGGCATGATCTCTAAAATAACCCTAAACCTGGACTAAATTTTCCGACCTCGGTCTAAGAGAAGCATTGACGATCTAGCGGCGCGCGACGATGTCTTCTCAAAATTAATGTATGTTATAGATATGCACATTTACTCTGTTAATGAAATACCTCTCGGGAGCGAGGCCGCTTCGTCAAAACTATTTTTTTTTCTTCCACCTATTAATAAAAACTTTTATATTCTAGATATCGTTTAAAACGTATAATTTTCAATTACACTGTCAACACTTTTCATAACGCACTGAAATGCACTGAATACACGCACTTCTATGCAGTGGCGCCTAACTGATATTATTTGTGGTTGGTCTATGGCGCTGTAAAATATGGCGTCAATGTTGTGCAAAGGTTCAATTCGACTCGAAAAGAGTGTACGTGCTCGTTCTAGTCAGTTCGCCCACATCTTTTCTCCCCAACTAAAAAAGACAAAGGGAACAAAAAGAAGCAACTCCCTGAGTACAGTGGGCGACAGATTTGCCGTCTTTTAACCAGCGCACTGTGTGCCACGGATGGTGCGCCTCACAACCAGTATGCCACACCGGCGTCGCGGCCTCGCATCGCGCACCACGCACGCTGATTGTGGCAGCCACGGGCCGCCCACGAATCCGTGTTTTCAATCGAAAATAAAGACAGGTGGTTACATACCAATGATCTCCATTATAGACTTTAATGGAGATCAATGTTACAAACGGGCTCTTGCACGCGTTCAGCGTGCACACAGACCATACATATGGGCGGCCATCGGGGCAAAAAAGACATGAAATATAAAACAAAATGATATTTTAAAAATTAACAAAATAAAATGAAGAAATTTTTAAAATAAAACAAACGAAAGAATTAAATTTAAGAACAATGAATAAAAATGCAAACAGAAGGAAATGAAACAACGAAAAACCACATGAAATTATTCACAAAATAAGTTAATAAAATTTTACAAAATAACTAAAATAGAAAACAAAGAAGAAGTGAAAACAGAAAAAATAAGAATCAGCCAGAAGATATAATAACTGAAAAATCAAAAGATAAATGTAAAAATAAAAGTAAAAAAAGAAGTAAAAAAGACAAGCGAAGAAGACTTAAGTGCGAGTACCATCCCAGAGTTCTCCTTGCACTTTCTGTTGTTCAGCTAGGAACAAGAGCCGACTCCTTATACACATTTATTGACTTTCTGTACTCGCACCATCTTGCCACGTGCTCTGTCGATACAGAGTACGATTCCGCAGGTGACTATTTTGGGAGCCAACCCAATTCGCCTCTCCACCGGGCCAGCTTCTCGACACCCCTTATTCTCCGTGGGACCGCCACCTCTTCGGACTCGCCAAGACATCGGCACCGACGCTATCTGGATTTTGCACTGTGTCCAAGACCATCGACCATATTTTAATCACTGGTCGATGGCAAGTCATTACAGATTGCCAAGCATTCCGTATATAGTGCAGGACTGGGTCACACAAACCATCGTCTTGTCGCCGCCATGTTGAAACTGCATCTTCGCTGTCGGCCTCGGACAACACCCCACCTGCGACAGCACCCTGACGACGACAAGTTACACATACCAGCATATGCGAAGCAGTATGCCACTGAAGTCAAAACAGGTTTGATGCTCTCCATGAGCCAACATCCATGGACAAGGCTTGGACTCAACTCTTCTCCACATTGGTCTCAGCAGCAATGACTGCTCTTGGGAATCGTCGCAAAAAGAACCAACCGTGGATCACTGCAGGTACACTGAACCAGGTAGAACGCTGCCGTAAAATCAGACTAACGGGCGACAGAAAGGCACACCGAGATGCTGCTAGACAGTGTCGTAGGAAGCTGCGAGAAGATCGCTCACAATGGCTTGAGGAGATAGCCAGCTCTGCTGAGGATGCGATCCACCATGGCAACATGCGTTCTTTATAGAAGCGGATAAAGGAACTCTACTCATCGTATCAACGACGCCACACCGGTCCTATCCTCTGCGAGGGATCGGATGGCTCCATCTTGACTAAGGCGTCTGCGAAATCAACCCGCTGGTGCGAGCACTACTCTACTGCCCTGAACAAGCCTCCCCCTCCACCATCCCTCGGCCTCCAAGACTTCGCCAGCTCAGGCTCCCCAGATGAGACTGTGTCATTGAATCCACCCTCTACATTCGAAGTCAAGAAGGCCATAAAAAAGCCGACTTCCGGTCGGGCTGCAAGTGCAGGCGGAATCAATACCAAGATGCTGAAGGCCTCCTTGGACACAGTGGCACCCAGGCTGACCAACCTCTGTGGTAGAATCTGGGAATCGGAGCCTTTCCACCTGAATGGAGGGAAGGAATTTATAGTATCCCTCTATTTGAACAAAGGAGACGTCAGGGGTCCGGCTAACTATCGCCCAATTACACTCCTCTCCATTCCCACAAAGGTATAGTCTCCTCTCTAATCCTTCAGTGAATCCGGCCTCTCCTTCTGTCCAGGCGGCTACCCCAGAAAGGAGGATTCACCCCCATGTAGATCCACTACCAATAGTTTCTTAGCCCTGCGAGTCCTGGCAGGGCAATGAAGGGAATTTCAGCGTCCCCTTCCAGCAGCCTACATATAGGTCTGAAGGCTGCGTTCGATTCGCTTGACTGAGACGCTCTCTGGCTCCTGATGCAGGGAATTGGAGTCCCTCCAAAATGTATCGGGCTTATCCAGGCTCTGTAGTCAAATACCACGTGCAGAGTCAGGGCCGAGAGAGCTCTATCAGACCCGTTTTCCACCACCTCCGGTGTGCGACAGGGATGTGTGGCCTCCCCAAACCTGTTCAATGTTGGTGTGGATTACTGGCTCAGCAGTCTCTGGAGCGGTGTCCAAACCTTGGTGTCAACTACCATGTCCAAGTGACTGACTCGTGCTATGACGTGGTAATCTATGTAGAGCCCTCAGATACTATCGCTGAGGCCCTCAGCGTGCTCTCCGTGGAACGGCTTCACCAATCGGCCTCACCATTAACTGGGCAAAAACCTACTCACTCCCGGGCAGTAGGGTCCCCTATACCCGAAACCCATTCCACCCACTCCAGGCGTTAGGGTCTTCTCTACACGAAGCCACCCCCTCCCTTGGCATCAGGGTATCCTATACCCGAACCCAAGGTTTCCCGCCAATTCCACAACCCCGCACCGCCACGAGATCCAACACCTTCATACAACAGTGCACACGCTGAAGTTACACAACCCGCTAATCCCGTTTCCCGTTCCCGTTTAAGTACTAAAAATTAATAAATTTCGACTAAGGAAATTTCAAATGTAACTTTCAAGTCCGCTTGCTTCTATTTGGCACTATGAAAATGTAAGAAGGAATTAAAAACAGTCTACCTCTCATCTGAATGTGGAAATTCACACCCCAAAATAAGATTTCCTTTCTTTTGGGTTGGAAAACAGGCCGTGTTGAAATGTAACATCCCCAGAAGCAATCTGAAACCAGCTCTCACTCACTGCATTTCACCTTAAAGATACATTTGAAATTGTCACGCTGAATAGAACTTATGACATTCGCTGCGGCAAGACTGTATAACTCATCGCGGCGAGATGCTCATTCAATGATTTAACTTGAGCTATCTAGTAACTAAAAAAACTTTTCTGCAAGTGACTCTTCTATGCTTCCGTACTTAAACGCTTCTGTACGCTTCCGTAACATATGGATACGACTTGATGGTCAGTTAACTTTGTCACAAAAACCTGCCCTTCTAATGAACAAATAGAGTTGGATGTTTGAAATATAGGCCTACATAATGATGCGTGCACGGCATTTTCAAAAATATAATGCACAGCATTAATGGAACGGACTGTCCGATTTTTTTTTCATTTGTAAAACAATCCTCATCTTCCATGCCAACCAAATGGCGGTACCGATTTCAATTCCTTGAAAAAAAATTACACAATTGATTAAAATAGGTATATAACATTTACGATTCTCTCGAATACGGACAAAAAGTTAAAACAGTACTTTGTTTTAGAGATAAATTGCCAGTATCAAGAGCATGTGTGTACAAGGCTATGTAGAAGTCACAGTTTAATCAATTGCTGTCAGCAACCCCGTGTGAAAAAAAAAGTTTGCACACTCGGCCGATGCATTCATACTAGTGATACCACTGGTAATAAAAGCAATATATTGAAATGGTAAAAAAATTGCAGTGATCGAAACTGACAACTTGGCGTGTGAAAAAACCTATATCAAATTTTGAAGCTCTAAAACGGTTAGCGGGCATGACGTCTTGATCCTAGCAACACTCTATGTCGAAGGAAAAAAGAGGAGAACTGTTGGAGCCAATGAGCCTCCATATGGACTAAGAGAAGGCCCGATTTTCCTAGCAAGGGAGGCTCCTTTGGTCGAAAGGAAACTTCGCTGGCCGAACGACTTTGAAATGCACGTGTTGCGGTCGCGTCGCTACCAACAAAGTAAACACCCCGACCTACACGGCTCTTTTCAAGCAATGGGGGGGGTGCTTCTGCTTGGAGCAGATTGGAAATATAAGATGGGGGATAAAGTGAGACATGTAAGATAGAAATATGTACGCTCATCCAGTGAGCAGTGACAAAATAGAAGAGAGGAGTGCAAAGTGAAACAGAACTACGTAAATTAATAGATGGCTTAAAGGTTGTATTCTGCCGAGAACAAGTTATTAATGAATTATATCAGCAATGATTATGAGGTGCAATGGAGATATTGTGCAATCTACAATTTTATAAACATTACAATCAAATTGTGCAAATCTACACACATACTATTAGGCCCTGAACACCTTATTTAATTGTGTGTTTAATTATTAACAGATTAAAAATATGATGAGTAGTTTCTTCTAGCCTGATTCCAGTCTTTTCTTTTTCTGTTATCTTAGAAAAATAGCACTAACTGGGGCATTTCTGCAATTCCCTGCCATTATTAACAAAAGTGAGAACTCAATATTATCAATATCGGACATATTTCAAGAAGTTTCTTGACAGAAAATTGCACAAAGTACAGAGAAACAATTGTGAGACACAGTTAACACACCTAATCGGCTGTGGTGCTGTGTTTTGTATACATGTACTGACATCAGTAACTGGTACCCATGGATTGCTATTTGTCCTTGGGTTTGACCAGCACTGATTAACAGCTGATTAACTGGGACAAAAGCACTACACAAATGAGATGGTACAAAATGAAAAAAACATGAGCGGCAATAGCAATGGGAGCTCCAGTTAGATCATCTAGTCCAACACGCCGCAAAGAAGCTAAGACTTCAGGCAGGTCCCGTATAAAGCCAGATGCCGAGATAAAGCGCCCTCTCAAAATTATTATTACATGTACATGTAATTGCCAAAGTGTGCGTGCTAGGTTGTCTAGTTTTCTGGGTTTAGTTGATAAACATACACCTGATGTCATTGTGGAGACTGAATCACGGTTAAACTCCAAACTGACCACAAGGGAAATTTTTCCATCAAGTTTCCTTCAAGTTTCCAAGTCTTTAGTAAAGATCACAATGGTGGGCCCCATGGAGGAGTCTTCATCGCTGTCAACAAAACTTTGATTGCGCAAGACGGAGGTCACCTTGATCAACCTGACTGTACAATCATGGAGGTAGAATCATGGGTCAGCATACAGGTAGAAGGTATAGCTCCAGTCTACAAAGGTGCCTTTTATCGCTCTCAAAAGATTGATAACGAGTACATGAAACTTTTGGATGATTTACTGCACAAAATTCCTTTAAAAAAAGCCTCAATCTGGTTTCTGGGGGATTTCAATGTACCAGGTTTATCTTGGGACCAAACAAGCTGCAAACCAAGCGGAAGATACCATGGGCCAAGCAAACTCATGGTGGATATAGCACAGGATCATAACCTCCAACAAGTTGTGCTACAGCCTACCAGGGGTAGTAACATTCTTGATTTATGAACCAATGACCCGTCATTTGTAAAATCAGTGTCTGCTGGTATCAGTGATCACAATATTGTCATTGTCACAGCATCCGTCCAGCCTAAATGGATCACAAACCCAAAACAAAAAATCTTCATCTATGCAAATATATGACCTGGATACCTTTCACTCTCTACTTAAAAACGATTACATCAACAAGGAGGACATAGACAATATTTGGTCTGATTTAACAAGTGTTTTGCCGAAATCTACAGATGCTCATGTTCCACCAAAGACGAGCAACTGTAAAGTTAAGTTGCCATGAATGACCAACAGGATGAGAAAGAAATGCAAAAAAAAAAAAAAAAAAAAAAAAAAAGGTTGTATGATAGAGCTAAATGCTCGGGCTCTTTTGAGAACGGGGATAAATTCGAAGAAATGAGACGGCAAAATGAGAGCTGAGAAAACTTCATCAAAGATATACATCCATAATATCGGGGATAGTCTCCCAAGCGACAACACAAAACCATTCTGTTGTTATGTCAAATCCATCCGCCGCGAGGTATTTGGTGTCAGCCCTTTACAGGTAATGAGGCACAAGATATCACGTGCCAAAGAAAAGGCGGAGGTCCCGAATAAACCTTTCTGTTCAGTTTTCACGAATGAAAACACACAAAATTTGCTGACTCTAAATAACACGGTTCCAGATATGCCAGATATCCAAATTACTACTGCAGGCATTGAAGAACTCCTAAAAAAAATGAATGTGAACGAAGCTACAGGTCCTGACTACATCCCAGCAAAGATCCCGAAGGAACATTCTACAGCAATAGCACCAATTCTTCAGAAAGTTTTTTAAAGTCTCTGTCAATGGGTATATTACCACAAGATTGGCGAAATGCGAATGTCACACCTGTGTTCAAAAAAGGTTACAGATCCGTCCCATCCAATTGTAGTCCTGTTTCCATGACCACTACATTATGTAAGCAACGGGAGCACATCATTGTTAGCAACATTATGGCTCACTTTGATACACATTTCTTACTATCGGATAAACAACATGGCTTCAGGCGTAGATCATCATGTGAAACTCAAATTGCAGGTCTCACCAACGATTTGTATCAAACACTTGACAACCAAGGTCAGATTCATCTTTGTATGATGGAGTCCAGCACAGCTTTTGAGTTTTGAACTTTTCCCCTTCGACGTCTACTAGGTAAGCTTAGACAGTTGGCATCAGACGCAACGGATAGAAATTTTTCTCACAGATAGACACCAAAGTGTTATCATCGATGGAGAATAATCAGAAAGCTCTCGTGTAGCTTCTGGAGTTCCACAGGGAACTGTCCTTGGGCCAGTTCCATGCATATATCAATGATTTACCAGTTACATTCACATCGAATATATGGCTGTTTGCTGATGATTTAGTTCTATATCGACGAATAAAAACATAAAAGGATTGCCATGCTCTTCAGGAGGACATCAATTCCCTGTGCACTTGGAAGTCTGTATGGCAAATGACATTCAATACATGTACGTCCAAATGTTTCACCATGTCTGTAAGTCACAAGAGGAATCCTCTACAATATCAGCCTGAGCACCTCATTGACCACCGTACATATTTGGGAGATGGGTTGACTCATGACGTGACATGGGCAAAGCACATTACTCACACGGCCAGTACTGCCAACAAAATACTGGGACTGATTAAAAGAAACTTTTGGAACTGCAAGCCCCGAGTAAAAGATGCAGCCTACAAGACGCTGGTTAGACCAACGTTAGAATACGCGACCTCAATTTGGGATCCTCGTCAAAGTAAACGTATAGATTGCCTGGAAAAAAGTGCAAAGACGCGCTACTAGATTCGTCAAAAACGACAACACAAGAACGAGCAGTGTCACAGATATGATTTCAGAACTCTGGGAAACCCCGGAATTACGAAGACGGAAGGCAAGATTGACCACCATTCACAAAGAAACTCACAGGCTTACCCGACAAAATAATAGTCATCTTCTCACTAACCAATGTAAAAGGACTAAACGTGCAACTCATACTTTGAATTATAACATCCCCCAAACTAATAAAGACTGCTACAAGAAGTCACTGTATCCTCGTACTATTCATGAGTAGAATGCCTTGCCACCTGCAATCAAATCAGCACCAGATGTGAAAACGTTCAAGGTAACGTTAGATAAAATTTAGACAATGGGGGGCAATGCATGAGGGACTGCACGTTAACAGCCATATCTGGGGCGATTTGTGCAGTATACTGATCACGATCACGATACTAGCGCCCTCAGCAGCCTGGGCACAAGGCAGATGGCCAGCAGTTGTGGAACATACCCATCTTACACCATGGGGTTAGGAGTGAACAAATAATATATGCATATTCCCGTTAAGAAAGCAAACGAACTCCAGCAAACTAATTCAGAGATGAGGAAGGAACTTTCATAGACTTCGGTCTCGCAGCACACCAAGTTAAAGGGGGATAAAACGCTTTTTTTTTATAAAACTCCTCTTTTATTTTTCAGATGAGATTTTTTTTTCAGGCCAGGCGGGCAACTTCGAATGGGCATTGCGTTTCTGCCTTGTTCATCAGTGCGCGTGTGCTAGCCTTACATACCCCTTGCGGACCTCCGAACAAAGAAAATCTGAAATAAGGTAGGGTTGGAAGAGGCCCACAAAGTGATTCCCTGATCAAGAAAAAAAATGTTTCCAAAGCATTTTGAGTATAGGCTTATTGTGGCTAAATAAAGAGGAACAGTGCAGGAAATCTTCCTTGGAAAAAATCCAGCTTGGATGAGTTGTCGAACTGGAAAAAAATGAGAGAAAGTAATGGAGGTAGGCTGCGGTGACAATTTCTTTTGTTAGGAAACTCACAACCAACTCGAGGGGGAGGGAATTGTGTTCCCACAATGAATTTGCCCTCTTGACGGGCTTGATTATTTGACCCGGATGGACAAAAAAGGGAAACAGTTTCCGGCACATCTTTAAGAAATATACTGAATACAATACAAAATATTAAAAATGGATGAAATAATATGAACTAAAAGAAGGGAAAAAAATCTGAAATCCGATTACAAATAGGAAGAATATCATAGCTGCCGTAATGGCTATAGATCAGCACCTAATTTCCATAATTACACTACCAATATGTTTGAGCATGAAGTGAGTGCCCACAAAACAGATGTCAACGGTTTGTAAAAATACACTATTTTTGGTCCCTTCCTGAAGCATATTTCCCAACCCTCCAACACACCCCATTTTGGACACAGGACAGTGTGCCACTTCAGCCAAGTTCAACCGTGGAGTGGCTGCTTGGTGACCAGTTTAGGTGGGTAGAGGTTGGCCTTGGCTGGGAACATGTGGCCAGCAACGTCAATCTCGTACTTGGCCTTGGTCACGTAGTCGTGAGTGACCTCGTGGGTCTGGCCCGTCTGACGGTCGGTATTGCTCAGCCAGCCTAGACACAGCATGGATCCCAGGGTGGGGCTAAAGCTGCTGGACGTGGTCATTCCGGCCGGCTGACCGTTGCGGTAGATGGGTTCCCCACCCCAACACCACAGGTCACGGTCCACTTTGTGGTCCTCTAAGATGAAGGCCGTCAGTCGGCGATGGATGCCCTCTTCTTGTTGTCTTAGCAACGCCGATTGACCTATGAACTCTATTCCCTGCAATTAAAAGGCTAAGTCAGTAAAAGTTCTGGAACAAAATATTAGGAAGACTAGGAAAGTTTTTGAGGCTATACAGAATTAATGATGGTAGACTCCTGCCAGTGGTTACTTCACACGTGGTTTGACACCCAACGAAATTCATAGAAACGCAGAACCGTGTTTGGAAGATGATTTCAGTGGATCAAACAAGAAAGTTCCTCGTAAGTGACAGTCGTTAGTTTTGGGGCAGGGCATGGTGGAAAAATTAAAAAGCAATGAGTCTGTACTGTCACCCAGGAAATCGGAAGATTCTCTTATCTTCTCTACAAGTGTTCTGTAGAAAATATAGCCAGGGGAGGGGATGTGTGAGGTGATGACAAGAGGGCAGGTGGGTATCTTACCTTGTTGAATTTCACTCTCATTTCTCGGCCGATTTCAAACGGTGTGTGCTCGTTGTTGAAGTCTACTCCCCAGTAGGCGTAGCATTTCTCTATCCTAAGCCATCGCAGTGCATGATAGCCCGCGGGCCGTATACCGTAGTCACGGCCAGCTTTCATCAGCATGTCATAGACGTGCACAGCACCCTTCAATGAAAACAGTACAAGCGGTTGGTCAGGTAAGCCAACAGACACTGAGGTAGAAGTAACCTGTCACGCTAGCATGCAATCTTAGCTTCCTGAAGCAGGAAACTGCTACCAATATTCTGGTTCCCTGAATTAGCTGCTCGTCCATTTCAGGTTACTCCCAAGCTAATACATGTATGTGACCTGTCATGGCATATTGGGTAATAACCTCCGTTTTTGACTTTCGGTTTTGTGCACATTTTTTCCGTTTGTTTCACTTCAGGCCTTGATAACTCGGTTTTGACTTTCTGGGGACATGTCTCATTTTCCGCCGACAGATCACATAACGCTAGTTTGGAGAAGACAGGAAACCAGGATGAACTTAACTGGCTTGCCTGAGGTCACAACCCATGGCAAGCAGCTTGATTCAACCCCCCACACACACTCCGGTCATGTGTTGTGAATTCTTGCAGAAACTTAGAGGTGCTGAAATCTTGGCTTGGGTAGGATTCTGAACTCTGATCAAGGCGACGTATAAAACGGAGGAAGTGCACGTTTCACCTGTGCCCCCAACCTCTCAAGTTCACCATTTGAAATATCTCCCTGTACAACTCTTCATTAATGGGACAACATAACAGAAATATTTCACTATCCAAAACAGCACCTGTGTTTTGTTTTGCTACTTTTCTCTGTGTTTTGGGGCCTGTTTGTGTTTCGTGCTATTATGAATTTGCATATTCACAAATAGTAATCAGAGTCCATGAACCTCAATGTTGCACTGATTTGGTGCACACAAGATGGCTAGATTTTTTATGCTTCACCATCGAAGGATTCCATTTCCATTGGCAATATACTGCTGTGTTTCCCAGAAATGTTTCCAACAAGCAAATTTGGGGCTCAAAGTCTGAAGACAGTATTGCTTATTTGGCGTATTTTTTCAGTCACTTGCGTACCTCATTGGGAATGTAGAGCAACATTCCATCCTCGCCAGCATGCGTTATGGTCATGGCATGAATTCCAGTGGTGAAACCCAAATTGATTTCCTGGAAAAAAAAAAAATCGGCTTAAGGGGTTAACTTCTTCCCCTCAGTCATGCTTGCAGCAAGGGCTGGGAAGTTCTGAGGGCTTTTTTTTTTGCTCGGTTGTTGATACATGCCCTCTGATTTTCCCTGTCAAAAGTTCTGGAAACCTAATCTTCCGGGTATTTCATTTAGCTGAAGAGTGCAAACCTTGGGACTGGGAAATCAACAGGGTCAGCCATGTTGTCTGCTATAATGTGTAGCGGTGCTATTTTTTGTCGCTTTAGTGGGCCTGAAGTACAAGTTTATCCAAAGAAACTTGAGCTTTTGCATCCAAATAAGCCCTACATCTTCAACCTCATAAATAACATTATTCCAACAACTTTTGTCATCAACGAGTTTCAACATTTATGTGGGTGACTGTTCCACCGCCCCCAATCCCCCCCTTCCCGTTTTGGAATTGGCATCTGACCTTGTGACAGAACGGCTTGAAGCTGGCCGCACTCAGCGGTGTGCTGGTCAACTTCTGTAGGACATCTCTGGCCTTTGGTCCTAGGACATTCAGACCGGTGTACTGACTGGTCACATCCTGTAGCTTGACCGAGCCATCTTTAGGAAGGTGTCTGGCAATCCAGTGATATCCCTTGACTTGCTGGATGGTGGGACATATCAGGAAATACCTGCAATGCAGGACCAAAAAAGAAATCTCTCCTGGCTCCAATATCTAATGTTGGTATTTGAATCAAAAAATGTGCGCGTGAAAAACTCAAACTCCGATAGCTTTTGGCAGCAGACCTTCCCAAGTCAGAATCCTCCACTGTTGTAGCTCCGTCCATCACAAGTCAATCGGCCAAATCACATTCCACTCAAATGAACTGTGACATAAACGTTCTCTTGTCATTGTTCCCTGTTACTTATGACTGGACCAGTGACAGGATGACAGGACTTGTGATGGCCAAAAAATGACACAAACTAAGCCACCACAAAAAACCTTGGATCAGGTTTCACACCTTTCTGTTTAATTTCATGGGATATGCAGAGAATGATACTGCCCATGTTCCTTGTTCCCTGTACCCAGATACCCACCTGTCTTCATCCAGACGAGCCACACTGCAGTCATTCTCATAGCCACCTCTCTCGTTGAGCATACCAGTATGCACCACCGCGCCTATGGGAACATCCATGTCATTAGCGCACAGGTGTTGCAGCAGTGAGGTAGCTGATTTCCCCTGATCAGATTGGTTACAAAATGAGAAGGTCAGATATTAAAAATAATGGACTCCTGTTTTAATAGGGGCTCTGAGCCACAACGTCTCACACTACCCACATGATCTCAAGTCCAACACAAGTCTCACTCAAGCCCCATACCTCCAGCTCAAACTTGGTGAAAGAGGACATGTCCATGACGCAGACTGACTCCCGGCAGGCCCAGTACTCAGCCTTGACCATGTCAAACCAGCCTGGCTTGCCAAACGTCCCTCGCTGAACGTCCTCCACGAATTCCTCTGCAAGGTCAAACCAAACAAAGTACAGTTCCTGCTTTGCACTGGACAGTTGCAGTAAAACTGTATCCCTCCGTCTTTTCGTATCACTTGAATATCTAAGCTTGAAATAAAATATGAACAGCTAGAATTACTAGCCAACAGATACAAAGGGACTACATATGTAATTATGAATGAGATTATTATTCATAATTACATATGTAGTCAATTTGCATCTGTTGGGTACTTATGCTGGCTGTTAACATCTGTTAACAAGAGATGGAGCTTTTGTCAGAGCGACAGTTTCCTCTAACACGTTGACTGTCGCACATGATTTCAAAGGGGCACTCCCATTTGCAAAGCCTTGTATGCATATGCGCATATTTAATGGATACCTTTCACATCTATTTCAACATGCTGCGTATTGTTGGGCTCTTCAGTGATGTCAGTGTATTCAATTTACATTACAATAACCTTTCATTTGCTACGAGCATGCTCGTAGTCGGCAGTCAACGTGCTAAGGTAATTCAGGGAGTGCACGTTTGTTCGCCAGGGTCTGGCAAGGATTAGAGACCAGCGGCAGTGCGGTATCAGCCATGCTCAGCTCTTGCCCAATCTTGCAAGTCAGGGGGGCACTTCACATTGGCAGGAACTGCTGCGATGAACAGCTTGGCTCTTCCCAACCCTTTTTCAAGTGACCTAAAGCTGGAAAATACCACTGCCTGTTTCCAGAAATTTTCTGCCACTGCTGCACTGGTCCCAGAACTTTAGAAATGAAAATGCGGCCGAGAGTTAATTTAACTTAACCCCTTCGCAACGGATGACGGTAAGAGCCACCGTAAAAATTGAGATCCTCAGCCCGCTTTTCAGCTATTATTCTCGGCCCACGCTCGAGCGAACACGTAAAAGAAGGCTGACCCTGGCTCTTGTATATATGGTGATTGGCCTTAGTGTGTAGCCCAGAAATGAAAAGACCAAATTTGCATCATAATGACCAGCTTCACAATAGTCCCCACTTTGAAAAGAGGCAACGGGAATGTGGAAGCGTGAGTAGAGCCGCATGCCACCGAACAATGAGCCTTTTCTCTGTGTAATTCAAAGAGTGCAGAGCATGCAGGGCCACAAACCGAGAATTTGCAGTTTGGCAGGTGGCCTTCGTGGCCAAGCGAGGCTGGAATTCTCAGAGTCGGCTTCAGAAAAAAGTTCCCGTCATCAAGGGGTTAACAAGAGGGAAAATAACACCAGTGTCGTTATAGTGGATGTTGCTCTGAACAGAGAGATCACTCACCTGTGTCTCCCTCTTCCATGTACCATTTGGGTCGCTCCACCCCCATCATTTCTCCAAATCACCGCCCCTGCCTGGGCTAGCCTGGCATACAGTGGGGTACAGCGTAGCTTTCTTCCTGTCTTGTACTGGTTGTGAGGATACATGAGCTTGTAGTTGGTCCCTGACAAGCAGAGAAAAAGTTAAGTCACAACCAATACTATTTTAAATCTGAGTGAAACACTTGCTTCCCATCTAGACTTTATCCAGAAGATCTTGCGATTTGGTCAGATACGACATTCCTTTACTCAATTTGAGATTCAATATGTACACCTGGTTTAAACCAGATACAATCCTTCCTTAATAGGTTCATGCATGTCGCCTCATTCTTGAGAATGGAACAGAAAAGTGACTGACCATGCGGACACGTTAGGTCAGAACGAGACTGATCAAGAATAGTGGTCAACTTTTCAATCACATCTTTAGACACAAGTTTGTTGACTATATAATGCCACACCTTCAATTTCTGTGACTCTGTCTCTGAGGTACGCCTTGTTGTTCTGAAGAGGAGAGAAGCGCTGAGGGTTGACTGGCCAGTGCCCCAGGGAAGTCTCGCCATGAACGATCAGTTCGGCCAAGAGTTGACCCAAGCCACCAGACATGGTTATACCAAGGGAGTTGAACCCTGTCATTAGGTAGTAGTTCCGCATCTGAGCAGAAAAACATCAAAGTGGAAGACTGCACAAGAACAAGACCAATATGGCTCTGGATGAGCGAACGGCACAGCGGACAAGTAAGCAGTCAAGTCAAGTAAAAATCACGATACCTCTGCAACTTCTCCGAATAAGAACAAGAGGTCGGGGGTGAAACACTCGGCCCCCACAAACAGCTGTCTGACCTCCATCTTCTCTGCCACCGGGACCCGGTGAAGGAAACCATCCAGGTGATACTCTTCAATTAAAAAGCAGTTCAAGTGCATGAAAATTTCGTCTCAAGGATGATGGAGGAGAAAAAAAAGCCTGAGATGAAATACACTAACACAAACAATGGAAAAAAAACAACCCACTGCTCCTGAACCCTGCACAAAATGATGTTTTCAAAACGACCCGTGAGCTGGGAGTGGGTGAAGGACGGAGGGGAGGGATTAGACTGCTGCTGTCAATAGCACACGATGACTGTGCCCAGCATCGTTAGATTTCTGGAAACCCAACCCCTCCTAGAGAGGGGGTGGTTTCCAGAAAAGCGTAGGCCTCTGATTTGTACACTTGTGAAGATGGTGGTGGGAAAAGATAAAGGGCCTCCAATTTAACTGCAGTATTGGCTCTGTGCAAGATCTATCGAGGGCAGTATACAACCAACTGAAAACACTTCAGTGAGTACATTCCTAATTACCATTTACTAGATTCAAGCCACCGCTCCCTTAGCACTTCCAAACGTGTTGTGGGAATGACGTGCGCAGGGACCAAATCCTGATTTTATAAAAGTGCACAGCTTTGGACATTTCAATGTCTTCCTAATTTGACTTATTGCAATCAAGAAATTGTACTGAATAATATTTAGCATGAATGGGGCAAAGTCAATCGAAAAACAAAAAAAGAAAACAAAACAGGAGTTTTTAAAAAAAGAGTTAATGAAGTTTAGATATTTACCACAGGAAGTGTACATCTCTACCTACTTACGAATGTGGTCCCAGTCCTCAGCAAGGGAGATGAATGCAGACTTCTCAGGAATCCCCTCATGGAAGATGGGTTTAGCATTAGGGGCAAACATCCCACACATCAGACCCCCGCTCCATTCCCGAATGTAATTATAACTATCTACATCCCTTACATCTGAAATCAAGCAAATGTGCAATATCACTCAAGAGCCAATACCTCTCCAGGCTCTCAGAAACTCCAGAAAATTGAGGGTTAGCACCAACAAAAAATTTCTGTTGATTCTTTCCGGGAAATTTTGGTGTTTAAATTCACTGATTCTGTCTCAGGTGAGTGAAAAGAGAGAAAATCGAAACAAGAGTATGATTCTGTGGATGCGAGTGTGATTCCAATGCAAAGGGCTGGACGTGTTTACGCTGCAAGTGGGGACTTCGAAAACCAGCCTGGGGCTGCACGTACATGTACGTGGTGTCTATGGATCGGTTTGTTTCAGATCACAGATCCGGATCACAGTCGGTGATGCATAGTTGGTTCTCTGTCACCAGAACCAGTGGAATGAATGGAGTGAACCAGCTTCGGGGTCACTGATCGAGACTCAGATCCCCGTGAAACAAACAGGTGCATAAATGCAACAGCGAGGTGCACGACATACGTACATGGAGTTTTGACATCAAGCCCAGGTAGCGATTTGGTGATCAGATATCCGTGTGCAGTGGAGTGCACTGGAACGTTGACTTCTGGCTGGCTCATCAGACCTACATCTCGTCCCCACTACATGCCGAACCCCCCCACCCAAAAAAAAAAAGACAGAAAGGAAAAATCAGAGATATTGAATGCATTAGATCTCAATGCCTACTTGTCCTATTAGGGTCTATTACATGTTCTGCGTATGAAAGCAGAAAAAAACTTGAATGAAGTCTACCAGTTGCCCTCAAAGTGCAAGAGATCGGTTTAACACCAAAAGCCTAGTAGGATACGGTTGGGTAAAATGAAAGACCTCACAAGCATCAGATCCTTTGCACTTGCCTGTCCGGCCGCATTGACAAAGTATTCACATTTGATATCACCCAGGGATGTCTGAACTTGAGAGACCTTGCCATTCTCTGACAGCACGCCCTTGACTTGGACTCCTTCCAAAAGCTGGACACCTGTTGGAGGACAAAGGAGGCAGAATCAGATGTAAAAATAATGAGGCAAATAATAATTACTGCTAATGGGTCATTAGGGAGACATTCCCAAAGGAACATGCACAAAATTTTTCCAACTTTACTGTCCCATAATTCAGTATTCCCTAGTCTGATCTGAACCAAACTTTGTATGTTTGAAATTTAGACCCTAAAA